TATTGAGTATGATAGTGAAAATGAATTGATGAGAAAAATTAGGAATTAAATGAATTGGAGAAGCTAGCCAAAACCTAGGTGAGCAGAGTACCAAAAACAGATAAATTGAGTGTCAACACTTTGTGATGATAACTGATATTGATTGATTCTTTGATGTGATTGCATGTTGGCAAGACTTGAAAATGATAAAAGCATTTTTTTTCTTTGTAGTAGATATAACCCAGAGCCAAATAGTCAACTATACATTAATTATAGGACATCCATTTGAACCACTTCTGAGCCAAAAATAATATTGTTTCTTAAACAAAACCCTTAAGCCTAAACACTATTTATCTACCTTCCTATATTTGAGAAAGGAAATGAGTATGAATGTCACTATTTTTCTTATTGTTGGGTATTGCTATTGTTGTCCTACAGGTATTGTTGGGGTGTTATTGTTAAAAAAAAAAGTGTAAAGAAAAAGGAAAAGCAAACTTAAAAATTTGCAAAGCAAAAAAGAAAGGATACATGTAAAAGCAAAAAAAAAAAGGAAGTCAAAAGGGGGTAATAACTTGTGAGATTATTAACTCATTGTCATTGTGTTAGGGACAAAAGCATGAAGTTTGAAACCTGACTTGAGGAATTGTTAATCAAGAATCATTCATATAAGTTGAATTTCTCAAATATTTTTGTATATTCCAGAAAAACCAATAATTCTTTCTTAGCTCAGCCCCATTACAAGCCTCAAAAGACCTTTTGATTTAAGTCTTGTTTAACAATTGTTGATTGCTTGAAGATGATTATCAATATTGGATTGTCTAAATGAAGTGATTGAATGAGATAAACACTTACCTGTGAGAATTAGAGATGAGTATATATAACTCTATTTTAGAGATCATGCTTCTCTGAGGATAGTTGAGGATTAACTATTCTTTGTTAGTTTTTATAACTTGAATGCTTCTGTGTTCTATTTTCATTTGGAGTTACGAGCATCATCCCTGAAAATTTTTATGTTGTGGTTCTAGAAGAGAAAGAGATAATAAGTGATAATTTTGTTTTGGAAAAATTACTTTGCTTGGGACAAGCAAGATTCTAGATTGAGGGGAGTTGTTAAGTGGTAAAAAGTTGATATAATTATGCCTTGAATTGTTATAAAACCACTTAACTTATGTTAATTTTAATATATTTTTCTCCCAATATAGGATGAATTTGAGAATATCTTGATACAAGAGTAAGGAGCATAATTGTCAGCATAATTGGAGTAAAATTGAAAGAAAAAAGAGCGCTTAAGCGAATGAATGATGCAAGGCCCGACCCAAATTCTCTTATAAAAATATAAGTTGTGTTTTGAGAAAAACAAACAGTCTTAGAGGAGAGGAGACACGACTACTGTTAGGGTTTTGTCTAATCTTCATCAATTCTTCACTTCTTCATCAATTGGAGCATTGTAATGACCAACATGAGTGACTAACTTCATTCTCTTAGGATTCAGTGCACTTCCTTTGAACTCTTTTGTATCATGGTGATATTTTGAGATATTAATATATGCTTTGATATTGTTATTCTTATCCTCTATGCTTTGTAATGATTTATTCTTGATTGTTTGAGGTATGATTGAAAAATATATCTTGAACCCTAGATCACGGTAAGAATATTTGTTACGTTAATTGTCAGGAATTGAATGAATGTATCAATTGCTTAAACACCTTAACCCTAATGCTGGAAAATCTGTTAATTGTGTGAGGAATCAACATTTATTAGGTTTTCTTATGAATTTCATGTGTGAGGAATCAACATGGATGATTTGAGTAGGTGGCATCAACATTGTTAGGTTAATTGACATAGCCATTACAAAAGAGAGATAAGGAAGGAAGTCAATCCTAAGTACCTTTAATTGATATTTTCTCAACAATTTACAGTTCTTTGTCATTTTATTTCAATTCAACTCTTTATGCAAAACTCATTCTGTTTTAATCTACTTAGTAAGCATAAAATTGGGAATTTCCATTGAAATCGTTGTTCGTGAGATCAACCTTTATTTAATCGAAATACTATATTGCGATTGATAATTTGGTATGCTTGCCAATAATTCAACATAGTAGAACTTGTTTCTAATTTTTAAGTTTAAATGGAGAAGTGGTAATTAATTTAACAAACATCTTGCGAGACAATTAAAATTTTCAAAGCACAAACTTTAAAATTAAAATTAAAATTACTCTTAGACATATTTAAAAAGTTAACGTGAAAATATTTTTAAGAATGAAATATGAGTTAATCTTTGAAAAAAAATGATATTACTTTTAACCAAAAATAGTAAGACATTATAATATAAATTTTATTTATTTATAAATTATTTAAAGTGGGATTTTCACTCACATTTTTATTTTCAACTATTGAGATACTAAAATTCCCTACTCACCAATAATTTGCTCACCCAGGTGCAATATACTCAAGTTATTTTTAATATTTTTTTAATGTTCTAAAATTAAGGAAACATTACAACTATTGAATGTCATGTAGAACCTTTTTTTATTTTTTTTATGTCCCTTAATTTATTTGGATTGATTAATTTGTGCATAAATGAGGAGATGGATTAGTGGAGCAACGAAAACTGTTTGTCAACTATAAAATATGAAGATTTAAGTTTAAAGCCATGATAACGTCTATTCTATCTTCTGTAGTTATTTATCAACCTTTTTTTATTTTATAATCCATAATCAATTAATTTTTTCATAAAACCAATACAACAAAAATGGATTAAAAATATTTACTATAAAATTTTCAAAAATCACTTATAATACTATTCATGATTAAAATATATATTTACTTATATGTTAAAAATAATTGACGATATTTAATTATAAATCACTTGAAAATCAATTAAAATTTAAAATAAATAATAATTTATATTGAATATTTTTATTTTAGGAGATATATTTCTTTTAAAAATATTATAATATTTTGAATTTTTTAATTTGTATATAAAATATTAAATTTTTAATTTATATATAAATTATTTTACAGGTTAGTAATTAAAATAAAAATAATTAAATATTTATAATAGTTTAAATTTTAATAATAATAATTTGATAATCTCTATTTTTTTCTATTAATTTTTTTATCATTCACGTTAATAAAATCACTTACAAATTATCCTCTTAGAATTCATTTTTACCTATCTTTCTTTTAGAATTCATTCTTCTTCTCTCCTCAAATTAGATACTCTAATGATATTAATAGATGATATGAGGGAACTAATGAGTCTTATAATATACAACTAATGAGTGAATTAGTTGATATTATGATATCAATTGATGAGCCTTAGTAAATGCAATTAATGGGTAAACTAGTTAATAACATGATATTAATTGATCACTCTTAAAAAATATAAATGTAGTTTATAGACAGATCAATTGATGATGATGATGTGGCGATCTTTATTAGTCATGATGGTGATATTTATAAGTCAAGGTAGTAATTTTGGTCAGATGATGATGATATTTATCTACTATGATAATAATATTGGTTTATCATGATGATGATATCGATCAGTTATAGGGGTGATTTTAGTCATTTTGATAAATTATAGTGATCATCTTAGTCAATTATATGATAATGATTTTAATTAGTCATAATAGTAATTTTGATAATTCATAATGGTAATTTTGACGAGTGATAGTAATCATTTTAGTTAATCATGATAATTAATCATGACCTTAATCTTTATATAGGTGATAAATTTTTTTTATTGAAATTATTGAATAATATATCCAAGGTAATATATATATATATATATATATATATATATATATATATATAATTGTTAAAATTATGTATTTTTAAAACTTGTAGTTGTACTAAAACAAAAAAATCTTCATGTTCATATTTAACATATTAAACATTAAATAAGGGGAAATATTTTGAAAGATATAAATTCGACTAATTTAGATAAAAAAAAAACACAATTTTTGTATTTATTTGTAGGTTAATGATTAACTGAAATTGACAATAAAAATAAGAAAAACGAAAATTATTAAAAACGATTCAGATAGAATAGATGACATAATTAAATATTAATAAAAAGTCATTATTAAAATCGAAATTTTTTGTAAGATTAAAAATGATATCAAGAATTTAAAAGAAAAAACTTTTTTAGACAGTTTTTTTTCTGAATAATCTTTCATTTATCCATTAAAATAATCATTAATATATTTTACAAATATGAGTTTGCCTAATTTAAAAATAAATAAAACACAGTCCAAATGTATTTTTAAGTCACATATTTAATAGAAAAAAATTAAAAACCCATTATCAATAAACAACTTCATTTATTAATAAAATAATAATTTATTTTAAATCAATTTAATAAACAAAATTATATAATAGATGCTTTTATCTTTATAAAATTCAAATATCATCACTTTATTTATTATAAAAAAACTATTTTAACAACCTCATTCTACTAAACATCTAATCTATAATCGTTTTTAATAATATAATAATAATTTAAATTTATTTTTATTTTCATCAAATCCTTTTATATTTCTTATATTAATAAATTGGATTGTATTTTTTTTAGATGGGTGTCAGAACTCGTTTACTATTCTAATAATGGCATAGGCAGTTTTCAATTTCACATATTTCACTGCTCCTTCAGTGACACCGGTATACCCACTCCGATCCCAAACAAACAAAACGTGTGGTTACTTTCTTCCAACGCTCCCATTCCACTTGCACAAAGTCCAGGTCAACTCAACTTTTTCTCTTAGCTGTTGCCTCGCATTCCTAATTTCTCTTCTGCTCACACTCTCAATTCCAATTCTCACCATTCGCCCCCATCAAATTCCGAAAACGCTTTCGTTTTCGGTTTCAAATCCTCGTTACCCTCCTTCCACGCTACCGCGACTACCCTTCACACCTCAAGATGATCGGAGGAATATAACAGCGATTGTCACGTCAACTTCGCCTCAATTTCTTAGTCTCTCTGCGCTGCTCTACGTCACCTGGCACCACACCAAGCAATGGCATCTTCTCCAATCCTCAACAACTTCATTATTCCCGACCACATTTTCGTACCGGGATCCCGCGTGGAAAATGACGGCCACGTGCCTCAGTGTCCCGTCCTCGTTTTTATCAACTCCAAGAGTGGCGGTCAACTCGGAGGAGATCTCCTTCAAACCTATCGCAATTTACTTAATCCAAAACAGGTTGTTAGTTAATCTCACGTTAAATGTCGCATCCAGAAAATTAACTGTTGATGCTCTATTCTAACATTTTTGTGATTTGTTGTGTATGTGCATGAGTATAGATCTATTATGTGGCGTATTTTATTTCCTGTGAAATTCTAGCCTGGGAAGTTAAGAAAGAAAATTTAAATAATAGAAAAATGGGCGTGGGATTTTGATGGTGGAGATTTTCATTGAAGAAAAATCCTAGTGAAAATATTCCCGTATTTGCATGAAATATTAGCCATTGATTTTCACGTTAACAACTGATATTAACAATTGATTTTCCCTCGTTAACATGCTTCGATTTACCCTTTTAGTGTGTGTTTGGATAACCACCAGAATTAAATTTGCTCTCTAAAATTGAAAATGTGAAAATTTCAATGTCGAATTGGATCAATTATGGAAAAATTGAATTTAATCCAAACATGCAATTACGTGAGTTGCTCAGTTTAGAAGAGTCTGATCCTTCAACTTTATCAAGTGGTTGTGATTTGAGAGACCTTTGATTTACCCAATCTTATCTCAGTGGTGAACAAGAAAATCAACCTTTGGTGTTCTAGCAGATTTATGATTATTACGCATGTTGATATTCTTATCAAGGACTAATAAAAAGTTCCTTTATCTTTTGATTTGAACTCCTCGTTTTAGCGAAGTCAGATTCTTCAAATTCAGAAAGTTGTAATTTTTCAGGTTTTTGATTTGGGGGAGCAGGCGCCTGATAAGGTTCTCAGAACAGTGTATGCTAATTTGGAAAGCCTCAATCTACAGGGTGATAAGTTTGCTAAAAAGATCATGGAGACATTGAAGTTAATTGTGAGTTGTGATGAGAAAAATTTTAATGGGTAGTGATTTTTTAATTTTTGTGAGTAAGGAAATTTAGATGCGTGTCGTGTTTGTTTGAGTTTCTGATATGTACATTGGATTTAGGTTGCAGGCGGTGATGGGACAGCAGGCTGGCTTCTTGGAGTTGTTTCTGATCTCAAATTACCTCATCCTCCACCTATTGCCACGGTGCCATTGGGCACAGGGAATAATCTGCCTTTTGCGTATGGTTGGGTATGAACAAAATTTCAAGAGCATGTGGAATATTATACCTTTTTAGTCAATGTCATGAACTTGATAGTATTTAGATCTACAGTTTTATATCAAAAGTTTTAATTGTGTGAATTATTTGTTTGATTGGATTCACTTTTATAAGGAGCATATTATTATATTGGTTTATTCTTGAGCTTTTTTCTCTCTTTTTTTTTTCTAATTTTATAGCCATTCTTTTTGCTGTATATATAAAGATTTATGGCTCCTTTAATTTTTCCATTTATTCTAGAAGAAGTTGAGGAAGTTTTCAAAAGTGACTGATAGTAAAGACAATTTTTGCTGCTTTACAGGGGAAGAAGAATCCGACAACAGATAAAGGATCAGTTGAAGCATTTTTAGATCAAGTCATGAAAGCAAAGGAAATAAAAATAGACAGGTAATGTTGTCTGGGCCTATTCTTTAATGTTGGGATTTCTTTATTATTTTTATACCTAGATGGCTGACATTTAGATTAGGATGTTATTTCCTTACTACAATTCTCCTATGTCCATATAATTGATATTGGATAAATAAATCTATGTGACCAGATTATGATTCCTGGTTCGATTTTTTGCGGGGCTAAATGACTGGTATAGTTGCGAATGGTTTAGCTATGTAACCGACCGGTACTGTTGATATAGACATGTTGATTCTGTAAGAATCCAAATCGAAATCTAGTGGTTTTGTTTTGATTGATTCATTTAACGGGTTCGTTGTATTGATGACAGTGCAATGTGATTTTCTTAGTCTTTGAGCTATTATGCCTCTTGGGCTGCAGCCCTTTGTAAATTGATTGGAGTTTTGATTTTACCTCTTTTATACTTTACAAGTACTGTCCTTATGCCCCTTAATCTAGAGTAAATATATGAATGTTTAACGTAGTTTTTAATCAACTTCTGCATATATTCTACAAAATGCTGTTTTCTGATAACTTTTGTTCATCTAACCTTCAGCTGGCACATTCTCATGAGAATGAGAGCTCCTAAAGCAGGTTCCTGTGATCCAATTCCACCCCTTGAGCTACCTCATTCTTTGCATGCCTTCCATCGTGTATCTGAAGCTGATGATCTTAATATGGTAAGGCATTAAATCAGTCACTAAATACTATTTTGCAATATTCTATGAAATCTGGTTCAGGTGCAATTTGGTCAGGTCAACGAAAAAATACCTTCATTTTTTTGTGTTTTGCAATGACATATGCTTCCTTTTTCTAATGAGAAATGCTAAGAAGCACACTTTTACAGAGTTTTTTGTGTTTCCTATTTTGTTTTAATATTGAGTTAGGGTATTGAAACAGAGGGGTGACTGTAGTTCTTTTCAAAGAATTTTAGTGTAACTTTCTATTTTACTTTTGAATTTTTAAAAGGCTGTTGCTAACTGCTTTCCAGGAAGGTTGCCACACATTTCGCGGAGGATTTTGGAATTACTTCAGTATGGGTAAGTAAGATCAGTTATTCCTGGGTTCTTCTGCGGCCATACTTCATGTTATGGAGCATGAACTCTACAAATCGATTTTCCACTTGTGAAAAAATATGATTAGCCGAAATTTTTTGCCTTATATAAACTTGTGGTTTTTTTCCAATTTATTGATCTCTTATAGATTGGGTAATTAGCAAATGATGACAATGCAAGTTCCAATATAAATAAATTTACACAGAAAACTTGAACTTAAACATAAGCCGAGGAAATGTGACATATGTGCTAATATATTATGCAAATCTGCCTATTAAATTAAATTCATTGACTGCCAACTGCGTTACTATTTCTCTTGTTTAGCCTGATTAATTTTATCTTCCCTTAAAATGTTTTAGATGGTTGATTATATTGGAGGAATTTATATATCTGTCCACCATACTTCAGTGCTTATTAAATTATAACTCACTTTTGACTTTAGGAATGGATGCTCAAGTGTCTTACTCATTTCATTCAGAAAGAAAGAAGAATCCTGAAAAATTCAAAAACCAGTTGATTAATCAGGTATGCAGTTGTTCATTCAGTGTTGTAATTATATGCTAAAACAAATTGCGGTTGGTTAATGACAGTATTTGTTTGACTTTTTCACTCTTGAAAGAAAAGCCTAAATAAAGTTGGATGAGATATGTATTCTTGGTCAGAATTTTTTTAAAAACTGAGGCCTTGATTTCAATCTACTCTTTAGACTACTTATGCCAAGCTTGGATGCTCACAAGGATGGTTTTTAACTCCTCTGATGCACCCTGCCGACAGGTCAGTTCATTAAAACTTGTCATTGTAAGGACTTACATTTTTTAAATATGTGAAATCTACTTATCAACACTAACCCTACAACTGATGCTTTGACTATATTTTTAAGCTATCTTCTTTCTGTTTCAATTTTTAATATTTTTTCTTTTAGGTCTTACTCTTAAGCATGCAGAGTTTTTCTAAAATTCCAAGCATTGCACAGACCATTTAAGACAATGAAATGAAATGAGATTTATTCAAAATCTTTTTCATCAATTACAAAGACACATTTGTAACTCTGATCAATCAGTTATAGACAATCAAAGTTCTAACTATGTTTCCTTTCCTATACTTGTCTCCACGTCTAACTTTGATCAGTTAGTGATTTTGAGCAAAAGCCCATCCTGCACCTTGTTAACTCCTCTAGAATTTTTAATGCTCACGCATTACAGATAAGAGTAACTAGTTCAATCTCAAAGAGCATCACATCATTGTAGATTTTCTAATTGGACCCCCATATCCACTATCTTTCCCAAATGACCACCATTTACCAGGTAGCCTCCCAACCTTTTAACAGTTTACATTTGGTGTGTGCTTTGGTAATGCTGGTCATGGTGACCACTGGCCAGTCGTCGGAACTAGTAGTAAGCATTAGAAATAGAGATTGGCACTATATCAAAATAGCTCTGTGTACCATTCTAACAGTCCAACTTTGTTTGGTTGCAGATAATAAATATCAGAAAATAAAACTTAATGGTCTCCTTCTGTATTTGGTTTGCTTATGTATGTTCGTTCAGTCTTGTTGAACTCGGTCCATTTATCAGAATGTACCATTGCCAAATGATACATGTGGAACAAAATGTCATCAGCACTCATAATCTGAGAGTTATTTTATATTGTTTTTCTTTTTCTTTTTAATTTGTAAAATTCAAATATAGGATGAATTGTAAAGGTGTTTGGTAAAGGAGATTCAGAGCATTTATGCTAGTTTAAATGAGCATGCATTTTGTAAATACCACATAAAGCATAAAACTAGTCATTTGGCTAAAGTAAATCTGATCTGATTTCCAATGCAGGAACATAGCACAACTAGCTAAAGTAAAATTCATGAGAAGACATGGTGAATGGAAAAACCTAAACATACCGCCCAGGTAAATCGTTTTATATATTCAACTATATCTTCAAGGGAAACATGTAAACGCTAAGACTACGAAAATAAAAGGTTATTTAAGAACTGCATATTCAACTAGCCAAAGATCAAACATTCAAGAGACGGTCAATTACTGTTTATAATAATTTTTCAGAACTAAATTGCTTTTATGGTGGTTGCGGTTTTTTTTGGTCTCACATTTGAAACTTTATTACACATGCATGTTTTATAAACGGCCAGATAAACTATAACAATTAACTTTTTCGTCCTTCCCTGTGCTGCGTGCTCTCTGTTTACTTCTTGAATAACACGTAATTCGACACTTTCCATTGAATGTACAGTATCCGGTCAATTGTATGTCTTAACTTGCCCAGCTTTTCTGGTGGACTGAATCCATGGGGTACACCTAACAGGAGGAAACAGAGTGACGTAATTTTCATATATAATTCTGGATTTTTTATTTATTTTGCCAAATATTTCTTACCTTTTGGTTTTGAGATAAGTACTAGACAGCTAGTGAAAATATAATACTTTCATGCAAGTTCTTTGTTTTTCGTCTTCTAAGAAAACTAAGGTTTCTTGTTTGAATACAGAGAGATTTGACACCACCATTTGTTGATGATGGCCTTCTAGAAATTGTTGGTTTTAGAAATGCGTGGCATGGGCTTGTTTTGTATGCGCCAAGGGGACACGGAACTCGTCTTGCTCAGGTATGTGTGATATGATAAAAGGGGTGGCAAACCAGGGCTTATTTCAAATTCGGGCTTTACTTATTCTCAAAAAAGGATAAATTTTAAATTTCTTTTTTAAGATAGGAAAGTTGAGTTTTGAGATACCACTTTATAGTGAAAGAGTTGTGCTCCAAATAACAATTTTTTTTTTTTCTCTCAAAGAAATCGTACACACACATCCGGTTTCTTCACAAATTTATTTTATTTATTTATTTATTTTTTTGACTTTTTTTGTGAAGTTGTGCTTGAGTTTTTTTAAGTTATCCTTCATGAATGACTTTAGTTCAATGTATTTTTTTGTTTATTTTTTTGACTTTTTGTGCTTGAGTTTTTTTAAGTTATCCTTCATGAATTACTTTAGTTCAATGTATTTTTTTGTTTTTTTATGTTAAAGTAGTCTATTGATTCATAACTTTAATTTATATAATATAATTTATTTTAGTTTAATTTTGTATTTTTAATTATTAAAAGATTTATTTCTAATATTTATAAAATTAATAAAATAAATAATTAATAGATATTTAGAGATTAATAATATTAAATAATTTTTAAATATATTAAAATATTATAAAAGAAAATATTAATATGATGATTAAGAAAATATTAATATATTATAAAAAAATAAATTTTTTATTTTTATTGTCAATATAGATAATTACCCCAATGATTCACAATAAGATGAATATATTCTAAATAAATAAATAAAATATTTATCTTGTTAGAATGAAAGTCTTCAACATGATAACTGTTTATATCGCAATGAAAATACAAAATTTTATTTTTTTATATAATATACTAATATTTTTCTCATCCCTATATTAATATTTTTTAATAATTTAATATATTTAAAAATTATTTAATATTATTGATATCTAAGTGCTCATTAATTATTTATTTTATTAATTTTATAAATATTAAAATAAAAGTTTAATAATTAAAAATAAAAAACTAACTTGAACTAGAAGAGCCAAAGACAACTTAAAAAAAATATATTCTACTAACATCATATATCTGACTTCTTTATGAAAAAAATAATAAAAAATAAAATCGTGTTTTAAAACACGACTATTTTATCATAAACTCATATCTTAAAACAGACCTTACTCATATCCAAAATTTTAAAAAAATTTACTCATTTCAAATAAGTAAAAGGAAATTACTTCTCAATTGTAAATAAGTCGGCAAACCAGTACACTCCAATTGGTACGGAAAAATGGGTTAAGATAGATTGTTCTATCACAATTGGGGTGAGCGCTAGACTATAGTGGGCCCCACCAGAAAGCAAACCGGTTGGTCAGTCCATTAGTTTTTTTTTTTATGAAAAATAAGTTTTATGTATTTAAAAAATATATTTAATTATATTATATTTTTATTCATTAATTAATTTTTTATTATGTAAATTAAGATAATTATTGCATTTATATTTTAAATTATTTAATTATTATGAGTGGAAAGTGAGTAAGAGAAATCCTTAAACCATGAATAGCCAAACACCACCACCAGAGTCCGGTCCCGTTAGTCCTGTTGGTCCCGTTCTTTTAAATTCAACTCTTCTCTTCCGAAAATATTTCAAAAACTCTTTCCTCTAAAATAGAACATCTTATAGAATATTCCTATATTCCGAGAAGATGCTCGAGATCTCTGAGACATACGAGTCCTCTCCTTAGTCCTTATAATATTTTCAAAAGACAACGATCTACTCTTAAAGCCATTACCCGTTTGAGTCATACCAGAAGACCTCCTGTTAAGGAGTACGTTCAAGCCTCCAGAATGGATCAGTGCACCTTAGCATCCACTGCTGAAGAGCAATATGTAAGTATTGAGATTCCTAAAGAAGCTATTAGGCACTGGCAAACTGAAGGATACACCCATCTCCACTATGGAGCGGTTCGACTTGTTCTCTCTACACGGAAGACGGGGATTACTGTCTCGACCGAGTTTCTCTTTTAGACTCTAGCTACCTTCATTATAAACATGCTTGTCATTGGCACTCGTTACTAACTACTCTTCATGCTTGGAAGTGTAGTTCTCACCATCTTCCCTAACTTCAACGTTAGTTTAAGAGATCCTACAATCTCCAGAGATTGAAGGTACAAATCCGAGATCACTTGGAGCTGAACAAGTAGGCTGAAGCCTTATCGGCCACCCTTCATCATCGAGATCATATATAGGTTGCAAGATCATGCTATTAATCTTGCCCTACCATCTTGCAAAGATGAAGCACTTTTCGTCTTGGCCAATAACCAAGATGAAACACCTTCTATAGTCCAAATCCCCGAAATATTTACGCACAAGAGCTTCAAAAGCTCATTCCTATGCAATGGGTCACCAATTATGAGAAGCTCCATGCTAACCAGAAACCCATCCAGGTTCACGAAGCCACTTTCGGAAGATCTGTGGATGGAGCCGTCGGAACCATCTTCAAGAATTCGAAGAAACTCCTAGTTCCAGCACCTCCATTTTCCAGTCAATGATGATAATACCTGTAGTCAAAGAAGGAAAAATCCCAATCAACGATGTATGCGTCCCGATGGTAAACCTATCTTTACCGAGCAAGATAGGGGGACACTTCATTTGGGATATTGACCCGAAATGTGCGATTCGACTGTGATTGCTTGTGACCACTATGGAGACACTAGCGATGAAGACGACGACTCGAGATGATGATGATGATGATGATGACTTCAAAGGAGGATCCTGCAAACCTCCATTCTCTCCTTCCAGGAAATTTGAACCTGGAAAAGGCCCATGGATAGGAATCCATCGCCAACCTGAACCGAGATCCCCTATGGAAATACAAGCGATATGCTTGAAATCCTTGAAGAAGAGGGCCTCCTCTTCCCTAAACAAGAAAAGTGTAGAACCTCTGCCATACTACCTCGACTTACTTCTAAAGCTCTTCTCGTTCCATGTATGATGATAAAACCCTCGGCCTATAAGGAAGAATTTCCTCCATTAGAGAGGAACACGACCAGTTTCCAAAACAATGACTAAACCTCATGTAGTTTGTCAAGAAATTGGGCCAGATGGGAAGATTAAACCATTAAGTCGGGCGGAAGAAGTCCTGAGCGCGGACGAGAAAATGCTCGAGCTCGGAACTCAATCTTACGGAAGATTGACAAAAAGATTGATAAGATCTCCACGCATCTAGAGGAGGCTGATGATAAGCTCCGAGCATCTTAACTCTACTTTGAGAAAACAACTATAAACAACTCTCGCGAAATCTCAAAGTTAGAAGAAGATTGGAAGACCACTTGTTTTCGGAGAATTATCTCATGCAAAAGAAAGAGAAATAAGGAGACTCAAAGCTCAAATCCAAGAAATGGATAATTACATTGAAGAAAAGATTAGGCGACAAAATCCAGAGAAACAACCATATACATCCTTGTTCTCTACAACTCCGACCTATTCTTCTTTTCAAAATCCTCCTCATTTCAGACCAAACTCACAAACCACGTGGACATTACCCACAGTTACGGCTTATAGGGCTAGGTTCAAACCGGTAGCCTCCAAACCGAGATAAAGGAAAGAAGGTGGCTCGACCTTAGCTGGAATCATCTTTTGATGATCAACCCTCACCAAAAGGCCTACTCGGCAAGAACCATTTGACCCGATCTTTCAAGATTCCCAAGATCCATACTCTCGGTTAACCATAGAACCCTTTCCAACCCACTGCAACTCCGGATACTCCAATAATGCTTGAGGAATCCTCGAGAACTCGGAAGCGAGATTCATGTTTCGATGAATCGGAAGCTGAAGTCCTTACTTCGAATCGGAAACGAAGTCCCTAGTTATGAGGATCTTACACGGATACTCATGACCAATACCTCCGGATCAGAAGTCAGACATGAGCCAATTTACGACCCTCAGGACGAAGAAGGCGACTCGGGTCCCTCGAGGACAAATATGTCATCAAAGACAAATGGTGGACCCTGGTTCACTATTGATGATATTCCTCCAAGCCGATGGAGAGCCGGATTAATCGAATTTGGTGCATGGTTAGATACCAAATTAGTCGACAATTCGACTCTTATAAAGTAATTGAGGAGTTACTGCGTAGAATGGCAGGAACACTTAAAGGATGGTATCATAACTTGGGAGTAGTCAAGCAGAACCAGTTCCATGAAGCTGGGCCAAGCAGCAGCGAGTACTTGGTGCTTTACATGAAGAATTCATAGGTGACGGATCAATCATCGATAAAAAACTCGAGACAAGAGTTTTTCGAAATGAGATGTTGCTCGATAAAAATCAAAGACTTGGAAAAACACTATCAACGAATGAGCAAAAGATTCTATCATCTCAATGGGCTCAATGATCCTAGTTTAAAGAACACCTATGTCGCATCTCTTCCTGCTGAGATCCAACCAGGAATTGAACAGGATGGCCATGTCCATTCGGAAAGACTTCACCACTCGACTATGGGACAAATTCACCGGATGACCTTAGAAGCTAGTTGATAAGCTATGCGAGACAACATGAGTTCTTCTCGGACATCATGACTCGAGAAAAGCAAATTTAGCAAAGCTTGTCGAAACCTTATTTGGAGATTAAATGCAAGAAGCCTTGTTCGGGAACACTGCAAGGTGAAGAAAAAGAAAGAAAAACCCATTTTCGAGAAAAAAGAAAAAGAATTTAAAATTCTTTAAGAAGAAGAAGTTTAGGGGAAAAGCACAAGATCAACGGTGCTTCATTTGCGAGAAAAAGGGACACTTTTCCAAAAGCTGTCCCCACAGAGGCTGACGAGCCATCAAGCTCATCTCCACCCTCCGACTTGATGGAAAAGACAATATAGAATCTACGTATTACGAACGAGTTCTGCGACGAAGAAAGCTGTCTTCGCCCTCGACATCTCCTCTGATGAATGCGAATCGAGAATATTAGAGGAATGCGAGGCCGATCTTGTTCGAGTATTCTCTTTCCAGGAAACTCACCTCATCAATGTCTCTCCTCCTCAACCTTGTTTAGAAGTTCAAATTCTTCAGTCTAAATATGAC